TTCCCCAGTTCACCTGTAAATAAAGATACAACCTTTTCTCCAGTTTTCCTGTGAATCTTTTTGTTATTTCGAACTCTGAACCCTAGTTCAAAAAATATGATTACCATGCAAAATGACAGAATGATCCAACGTGACCAAAATCTCCAGGGTTCATCTGAGGCTGAAAAGATTCATGCACTTTGGTTTCCCACAGTGACTCCATTGGATCCCACAAATCTGTTATTAAAACTTTAAACAACAACACACAGCACGTCAGAACATGGAACGACTGACTGGGAGGCATGCTGAAGAAAACTTTCAACCATCTCTGCAGACTCTGGATTTCCCTAAATCTGCGCTGCCAGCTTCCAAACAACCTGCAGTCTGGAAAGAGCCAATCAGTGGCAGCAAGGCCTTCTCTGTGGCCTAAACATAAGTCCTTCTGTAATGTATTTTCTCTTCATAGCTTTTCTCCTGGTTGCACAGCTTCCCGTAGCATGTTTAAATATACACAGTCGTATTTGGACCATCATCTGTTGCTAGGGCCAAGTAAATCTGCCTTGAGGCTTCCAGAATCATCAGTGCAGGCAACTGTAGCATAAAATAAATGACACTGAAACTGTTGCTTAACCAATCAAAGTTTTGAGTTGACGATGCCCGTGCTGTCTGGCAGGCATTTTACAGTGTCGGCATTTCCACCAGCTTTGATCTGACAGTCAGGAAGTGTACTGGTCAGAGCTAGAAAAAAAATCTAAACTCACATCCCATCGAGAAACTAACCTTCATAAACTTCCTTGTAGATTTCCACAAGATTTTGGAATATCCCTAATGTGCAAAATACGTAACCAGAAGGTTACAGGGCTTGATACAAGGTAACTGCACTGTGGGAGATCACGCCATCCACTTATGCAGGACTGTGGTGATCCAGTGGAACGAGAACGCATCGTAGAGCATGTCTTCAGTTCCTTAACGGAACAATTAAAGAATAAATTGGCCTCAAAAGATAAGTCTGTCTTTGGATGAACTAATAAAAATGGCTATTTGAAATGAAAATACTTGAGAAAAATTGTGTCAGCTGAGATTTTTTTAAATGTCTTTGTTTATATCCTGATGCATGCTCAATAATCCAGGTAGAAAAATCTAAAAAAGTTAAATCTGGTCCTCTGGACATTCATCCTCGGATGAGAGACGAAACGTTTCTACATTTTTTGTTGTTTTGCTTTGTTTTGGGTTTTTTTGAATGTCCAGAGGACCAGATTTAACTTTTTTAGATGTCTTTGTTTATGTTTACTTGGATCACATTCTTCTATTCAGAAAACCCAGAAATCCACCACATGTGATGTGAGAGCTATTCTGCAATGACTTGGAAAATCAACGCTTTGTTAAAAAATGTGGAATTTTTTGTAACAGTAGAATCCTTTGGATTTCAATGGAGGTCAGTACAGATCCGGAGGTCAAGGCAGTAGCTGAAAGGCCAACACCCACCACTCGTAAACAGCTTCAACATTTCCAAGGATTTGACAACTTTTACAGAAGTTCATCAAAAATGACAGTCAGACAGCAGCTCACTTGACTCCACTCACCTCTACCCTGCATCCTTTTATTGTGGCCCCCTGAAACCAGGAAAGCATTCAGTAGGTTAAAGCAACTTCTTACCTCTGCTCCCGTCCACATCTTCAGAAACAGAAGATGACAGAAACATCCTCAAGGTGGATGCTTTGGATTAGGAGTTGGAGTGGTTCTCTTCCAGTGTGATGAATCTGATGGAAAGTTACACCCCTGTGCCTTTTTGTCTCATCATCTCACACCAGTAGAAAATAACTAGGACATACTGAAGTAACTCTTTCTGGAGCGGTTCACAGTCGAGCGTGAAGCGGCTGGGATGAGAATCAGCACCTCCACATCTGAGGTCATGGTCCTCAGTCAGAAAAGGTGGATTGTTCTCTTCATGTCGAGGGTGAAGTTCTGCCTCAACTGGAGGAGTTCAAGTATCTCTGGGTTTTGTTCTCAGTGAGGGAAGAATGGAGCGTGAGATTGACAGATGGATTGTTGCAGCATCTGCAGTATTGTGGACTCTGTACCGGTCCGTTGTGGTGAAGAGGGAGCTGAGCTGTAAGGCAAAACTTCTGTTTACCAGAAAGGTCTACATTCTTACCCGCACCTCTGGTCATGAACTCTGGGTAGTGACTGAAAGAATGAGATCGTGGATCCAGGAGGTTGAAATGAGTTTCCTCTGCAGGGTAGCTGGACTCTCCCTTAGAGACAGGGTGAGAAGTTCAGTTATCAGGAGAGACTCAGAGTAGAACCGCTGCTCCTCCACATCCAGAGGAGCCAGTTGAGATGGTTCAGACATGTCAGACTGGAAGGAGACCCCGGGGAAGACCTAGGACACGCTGGAGAGACTATGTCTCTCTGCTGTCTTGAACACCTTGGAGTCCTCCCAGAAGAAATGGAAGAGGTGGCTGTGGAGAGAGATGTCTGGACCTCCCTGCTCAAGATGCTGTCCCCGAGACCTGAGTCCAGAACAAGAGGAAGACGATGGATGGATGGATACTGTAGGTAACGGTGAACTACTGTCCATAAAGTTTGCATTGGAAGAACAGAGACACTGGCTAGAGGGATCTTTCCTTCCTTTCATTGTCTGGACAGACCATAAACATTTGGTGTAATTACAATCTGCACAATGACTTGACAAGAATGCAAAATGTTCCTCGTTGCTTTTTGCCGAGTTTCATCTTACCATAACTCACCACCTCGTTATATAAAGGTAAAACCTGATGCTGTCTCCTGACAGTTTTTCCCATTCAAGGATTCTCAGTGACTCCGAAAACATCCTCCCCTCATCTTGCACCATGCTAACCTGGGAGATTGAGGGTCTCATAAGACGAGATCAGCAGGCAGAACCTGACCCTGGCACAAGACCTCCAAACCTATTGTTTGAACCCAACTCAGTGAGTACACAGTTTGAAATGGAAACGACACTTCCTCACATTGTTAGAGTTTGTATCTGCATGTCAGCTCTGTGCCCGAAACAGAAAAGGTAATCAGCCGTCTGAGGGTTTCCTGCAAACTCTTCCCACTCCTCATCGCCCTTGGCTTCACACCACCTTGGATTTAATTATTGGTCATCCTCACCGCTGTGAACAGGTTTTCTAAAACAGCGCATCCCCCTCAGTGACCCTCAGCTCTGGAAACTGCTCATCTCCTGAGCCAGCATGTTTTCCAGCTCCATGCATCACGCTGGATGCAATTTCTGACCAAGGACCCCAGTTCATATCTCAGATGTGGAAGATCTCACATCTGGTTATCATTCACATTTCAATGGTCAAATGAAAAGTTATAAATAAGAAGTAGAAACTGCCTTAAGCTGCGTAATCAATAATAATCCTTCCAGTTGGAGTTCACTTTAGAATGGACTGACTATGCTCACAACACTAATGTCCTCAGGTGCATCTTCTAACACGAAAATGACTCGAAGCACACAAAGAACACCTCAGACAGCTCTGCGAACATCCTACAGAGGACCAGTCAGAGTCCCAACTGGACCCTATCAAACATCTCAATATGAAAATGGCTCCTCCATCAGCCCCCACACAACTGGGCTTAGTTAGCAGAGTGAAATAAATTACAAAAAAGAACGTGAGAAGATCCTCCAGGCCAGATTCATAGTTTGTCTCGTCTTGTTGTAGACTCAAGTCTGGAACTGACGCCAATGTGCCTCAAATCAAAACTGCGGAAAAAGATCTGAATACTTATGGAAGTGCGATATTTCAGGTTTTATTTTTGTATAAATGTTTGCTTTTGCTACTGAGAGAAGATAATTAAAAAAACTTAAAAGTGTAGAAATGATTCTATGATGAGGCTGAAACAACGAAACTCCAAAAAGTGAAGGAGATCTGAAAACTCTGAAAGATGAAGGACTTGCCAAACCTTTGGAAAAGCAACAACAACGTTACTATCTAAAGAAAAGTAGGTAGTTTAAAATGTCTGGATATCCACCTGCTCTAGCACTTCCATCACCAGATGACTGATCAGAGCAGGAACACTTCTGAGCTGTCAGAAATCTTTAAGGTCATCATTCACACCTCAAAACTAAATATTTTGTGACAGCAAGATATTAATTGCACTTAGGCCTGTCACGATAACAAATTTTGCTGGGCGATTAATTGTGTCAGATATTATTGCGATAAATGATAATGTTTGAAATTGACAATAATTGGTAATTATTGTCAAATTTAAGAAAAAATATTGGTTAATTTTTGTGTGTAGTACATTTGTTTGACCACTGGATGGCAGCATACGACTGTTTGAGCTGAAGGATGGATAGTGAGGGAGAGAGCAGCGTGTCTCTAAGAAAAATGGGAGGGAGGCCCCTTGACGTGACATGGGCTGTCTGCCCTTCCTTTATTCGGTTCTCAATATGGCAGACGCTCGGTGGTTTGAGCTCTTTAGCATTTTTCACACAAAGCTTTTAATTAACAAATCAGTAAACAAGTTCTCAGCTTCTTTTTGCATAGAAAATCAACTTTTTACACAAAGGCACGAGTTTCAACCGTGAATTTTGGAGCTTGGACAAGACGAAGGTTTTGTCCCGTGGTCGGCCTGTTAGCTTAGCTCGTAGCGTAGCTTCTCAGCTTAGCTGCTTTGAACGATCCAAAAACGCAATTTTGGTTCAACCAGATTTTAAAAAGAAAGGGAGGGGTCAGTGAAGAACCGGAGTTGAGTCTTTTTTCATCCAGTGTCTTCAGTAGAAAGAGAGAGACACGAAGAAACGATAAAGCTGATAAATGAAAACGAGGTCGATAATTTTCATTTATCATGCGATTAATAGATTTATTGTTTATCGCACAATCGCAGTTACTGAAACTAACTCGTTTCATGCTGCTCACAATTTGAACTTTATCCTAGACTTTTACCTTTGCCATTAAAACAAGTTATTTTGTCTACTCACTGTTACCACAGAGATGGAAGGATAAAAGGTACGAGCAATAAAAAGAGAGAGATGGAGGGCTGGTGGTCACCTTTGTTGTAGGTTTCACCTCGGTCCATAATCGACACTGTCAGGAACACATGAAAAACAGACTGGACCACACGTGTGTAAAGTTTTTCAATAAATACATGAATGAGGTCAAATCAGTCTAAAGAAGTCCCCACTTCAATGTCCTGTCACACTCCGTTACAGAGGGGGCCAAAATTAAAACTTGTTTCAAACCAAGGGCCACACATGAACTCCAGTCACATGACATCTTGTATTGGCTACAGGTTCCTCAACAACACTTTCATTACTCACTGATGTTCTCTGTCGCGCATCAAAATCAACATTTACTGAAGAATCCAAACTAATTTCAAAGGTTCAAAACTTCCATGTTATTCAAAAGAAGTCTGCACTCAAAGAATGCTCAGCTTTCAAGCTGAATAAGAAGCAATAAAAATATTTTACTTAAAAATGTCATCTTGGGGGCTGAATAAAATGTCAACAAGGGCCATATTTGGCCCTCAGGCCTCGAGTTGGACACGTGTTTTCAAAGTGTTCATAAGCGCTCCACCTTTCTTGCATGACTAACAGAGCTTCACTTTTGTTTTGCAAAAACTTTGAACCTGTTCCAAAATTTGGAGCCAAATTCTCTTCAAATGGTCCAAGAGGCAGCAGAAGTCTGGAGCCCCTGCAGAACCTGCTCAGCTCTCTTTATGCAAACTCTCAGCACAAACTGCACTAGAAGTTTCTGTAAAAGCATTGTTATGTGAAAATAAGTAAAAAGTTTGGCATCTGTCAGTAATTTTGTGTCAAAGTCTCCCCCCCCCCCCCCCAGTCACAACCCAGGAAGATACTTTTCTGTCAAATCGCCTCAAATTGTGAAGCCAACCAGCTTCTGTCTGTACTGAGTTGGTCCACAGTTAAATGAGATAATACGCTGCATTTAGCAGCAAAAACCCCATTATGTATGAAGATGACTTCCAGAGTATAAAACACGTGAAGCTCAGAGTCTGAGTGAAATATTTAGTGAGAGCTTCAGGATAAGAAACAGAGAACAGGAGCACAGCTGCTCTCACAAAACATGCAGGGTAGAAATGATCTGTGATGACTCCTGCCCTCGTTACGTAACGTGGCTGGGACGCAACAAGAACAATCTGCCTTGTAGTCAAAAACTGAACCGAGAGCGAGTCCACCTGAGAGGGTCCACCTGAGAGGGTCCACCTGAGAGGGTCCAGGGATCACGGTTTGATCTGAGATGGAAACCAAGGAGCATTATTTGATTCAAAAAGATGTAGTGATGGTCCACCCCAACTCTACAAGAGAACAAATGGTTCACACCTGCCTGTCAGCTCCAGCATACTGCACAGTGGGGAGCACTGGTTTTGGGTGGTGGTGGTGGTTTGGGGGGGGGGGGGGTACAGAAAAGCTGGAGCAACAGCCAGGAGCTGTGCACCTGCAGTTTTTCAGGACCTCAGCATTTTAATTTGCTGACCCTACGTTAGGCTTTAAGGACCAGTTCTTGGAGGAGACGTCCTAAGAACTATCATCTTCCTGCAGTGGACAGGAGCCAGAGTCTTCTCAGTTCGGTTGTCAAGGCAACAAGACAGAGCTTCAGTTAAAACTGAAGCAGTCCATACAAACTACTTTATCAGCGTTTACATTGTTGTCTCTTGGACGGAGCTTCATGTGATCTTCTCCGGTTCCTCACACTGAAGGCCAAGTTCATTCAACCTTCATTTAGACAGGTTAATCCCACTGAGCCTCATGGACTCATTTACAAGAGAGACCAAGAGAGACAGAGTCCACTGGAGGTCACTGGAGGTCACAGGAGGTCCCTGGAGGTCACAGGAGGTCACGACCAAATCATAATTATATAGAGAGCACATTTAAAAACAACTGCTGTTGAGCACAGTAACTTCAAAGCACAGGAGACCATAAAACGATGCCATAGTTTGCATATTATCTGGAGTTGGGGGGGGGGGGGGGTCTCCTGCGTGCTCAGCTCCATGTTCATCAGGATGCATGAAGGTGCAACGAAACGTGTGTAAGGTTTGATAGATCTGAATATTTTAGTGAGGATGCAGTTTTTACAATTTGTCCCTACGCCAACCTTCAGTTCCTACATGAGGTTCCTGATGAACCTTGGAAGACCAGCATGGACCTGCAGAAAACTAAAAACAAGTGAAGGAGGTCAGACAGGTCTGCAGGACCCAGTCCGTTCAGGACCACTCATGATCTGCTGCAGGAGGAAACCAAGCAACAGAACTAAAGTTGTGTGAAAAACAAAACCTTACAGAGTTCAGGTGTCAGACTCGGTCAGGTGGTTAGTCTACTTGATCCACCCTGATCAACTCTGAACACGGTACGTGATCAAAATTTATGCACAATATATCAAATATTTGGCTAAATCAGCGTGCACACTATCAATATCGCAAAAGATTCGTAAAGCCCCAGCTCCTCTACAACCCTCCTTCTCCAACCTGAGAAGACTCTGGTCTCTGCCTGCTGCAGGTAAGATACTGACTGTTGACAACGTTTCCACATATTACACTTGAAAGAGTCTGGCCTACCCTTTAATTTGTCTAACGTTTCTTCCTAATCTGAGTTTTCATTTCCTCCGGGACCAAACCAACAAACCTGAGCCGGTTACAGAATCACTTTCTTTCTGATAGAAATGGTTCTGAAGATCATTTGGGGTTTGTCTGGCTGCCCCCGAAAAGTGTCAGTCAACAAATAAAAATAGAAAAGACTCAAAGACAAAGCAACAAATGGAAGAACACGTGAAGAGTCACAAAGAAGATGAGACATGGTACCTTCACTCTCGATTGTGTCGACTGCATCGTTAACCAGTCGAATGACAGTCACAATGGAGGCTTGAGGAGGAAAACAAGGAGCACGTGAGTTTTTAAAAACAAGCATTTGTAGTGAAAAGAGCTCAGAGCGGCGCTGGCTGGGGCTGCGCCTCATCTCATGCTCTCAGCACTGATTGTACGTAGAAATACAAGCAGAGCTGTGACCAGCTGAAGCTCTTCTGTCGTTCCAGTCGACTTCTTGTGAATTAGACTTTAAGGGAATTTGCACAAAATATTGTTAATACATACACATTTTAAATAAATGAACTAATAGAGCAGGCAAAGACAACAACAATACATTAAAAATAAATAAATGCAAGAACAAGACAATAAAAACCTGAAAGACCTTGTTTTATTTCTTACAACATCAGCGGATAAACTTCTGTTACTGCGGTGACACCGGTCGGCCTAACGCAGACACGTTTGGAGCAGTTCTGGTGAAATCACTTGTTGAAGAGGACAGACTGATTCAATGAACATGAAAGCACAAAAACAAAGCTCCTGCAGACAAGCCACAAGCACCAAAGCACACTGTGGATGTGGAACAAGCGACAACCCATTCTCATGCCAACTGCCTCACATGAGTCTGATGGATCGCGGGGAAAGGAAGATTTAGACGTGGCTTTTGAAGACGGTCAGTTTCAGGGTCCCTTATAAAACCATGGCTCAATGACATGGATGAAAAGACCGTCCCCTCCTTACATCACCTTTAGTAAGTCACAGAAACCTTCTTAAAATGCTTCAAGCCAGGCCTGAGATGCCGTCATTCCATCTCAGTGTGATCTATGAAAGGGTTGAGGCAGCATGAGAGGTTAAAGTGAACCTGTTACACCTCAGAGGTTAAGGTGAACCTGTTGTACCTTCGACTGTGCACAGCAGGATTTCAAACATTCCTGCATAGCCTGACATTAAAGACTTTGGACCACAGGCTTGAAGATACATTCACACTTGTAGTCTTGTTGACAGTTTGCAACTAAACATCCAGTGAGCCGTATAACTACATTCTGCACGGCCAAATATTGAGTCATGATTTTTTCTTGTTTGCTCAACTAACAAAACTCTATTCTAGTCTGTGCAGATTATTTTATCGCCAACCTCTTTCAACACTGTACCACTCCGGCCCACTTTGAACCCACCTGGGCAGCTGTCCTCGAATAAATACGAGGTCAGTTCGATAATTTTTTCACATTATTTTTTGTTATATTGGGTAGTAATCTTGGATATTTTCTGTCATGATGAGAGCTTCTGTGCATGTGTAAAAACAAGAGCTGTAAAACTCAAGAATCACTTAAACTAAATGGAGAAAAGTTCAAAACATCCACAAAAACTAAGCACATACTTTGAGAAAAAAAGTTGCACAAACTGATACAGTGTACATTACATGTACAAAATTCAAGGTGACAATATTGTAAGTGTCCTTGACTCACATGAAGAAGTTGAGAGATCCTCATGAAAGTTAGAAACATTTCTGAGACACCATCAAAATTGATATTTTGCCAGTTAGCCACCACAACAATCCTAGACCAATGTGATACCAGCTTCATGCGAACTAGTCATCAACAGTCCAAGACCAGTGGAATAGCAGCTTCATGCCAACTAGTCACCAACAGTCCTAGACCAGTGGGGTACTAGCTTCAAGCCAACTAGTCACCAACAGTCCTAGACCAGTGAGATACCAGCTTCATGCCAACTAGTCACCAAAAGTCCAAGACAAGTGTGATACCAACTTCATGCCAACTAGTCACCAACAGTCCTAGACCAGTGAGATACCAACTTCATGCCAACTAGTCACCAACAGTCCTAGACCAATGTGATACCAACTTCATGCCAACTAGTCACCAAGAGTCCAAGACCAGTGAGATACCAACTTCATGCCAACTAGTCACCAACAGTCCTAGACCAGTGGGATACCAGCTTCATGCCAACTAGTCACCAACAGTCCTAGACCAGTGGGATACCAGCTTCATGCCAACTAGTCACCAACAGTCCTAGACCAGTGAGATACCAACTTCATGCCAACTAGTCACCAACAGTCCTAGACCAGTGGGATACCAGCTTCATGCGAACTAGTCATCAACAGTCCAAGACCAGTGGAATAGCAGCTTCATGCCAACTAGTCACCAACAGTCCTAGACCAGTGGG